AATTTGAATTTTTCAAAGTGCGCTGTAAGCACAGTGTATGACAGTTCTATTTGACTCTCAGATATGAAGTGCACACCCCAAATTTACTTTTTATCACCCAAAACAATTTGAATTGTTCAAAGTGCGCTGAAAGCACAGTATTTGACGGTTCTAGTTGACTCTCAGATATGAAGTGCACCGCAGGACGCAAATGTACTATTTAGCAGCCCAAAAAATGTGAATGTTTAAAACTGCTATGTCACAGCACTATTTGACGGTTCTATTTGACTCTCAGATATGAAGTGCAGGCACCAAATTGACTTTTTAGCACCTAAAGAATTCGAAATTTTACAACTGCAATGTAAGCACAATATTTGACGGTTCTATTTGACTCTCAGATATGAAGTGCACCGCAGGCCGCAAATGTACTATTATGCAACCCAAAAATTTTAATGTTTAAATCTGCTATGTCACAGCACTATTTGACGGTTCTATTTGACTCTCCGATATGAAGAGCACGTCACAAATTAACTATTTAGCAGTTTAGCACCAAAACAATTAGAAGTTTTACAACTGCGCTGTAACCACAGTATTTGATGCTTCTATTTGACTCTCAGATATGAAGAGCACGCCCTAAATGTACTTCTTAGGAGCAAAAAAATGGGAATTTGTCAAAGTGCGCTGTAAACACAATATTTGACACTTCTATTTGACTGTCAGATATGAAGTGCAGGGCCCAAATGTACTATTTAGCAGATTAGCACCCAGAAAATAAGAATGTTTACAATTGCGCTGTAACCGCAGTATTTGACGCTTCTATTTGACTCTCAGATATGAAGAGCACGCCCCAAATTTACTATTTAGCAGTTTAGCACCAAAACAATTAGAAGCGTCAAATACTGTGGTTATAGCACAGTTGTAAAAATTCTGTTTGACTCTCAGATATGAAGTGCACCCCACTAATGTACTAGTTTGCAGAATTCTTTCCTAATCTGTCCCTGATAGCGGCAGCATCCTCTCCCTACACTAATAAGAGCTCATGTGACGTGCGGCGCTACGTGACTCCAGCTTATATATAGAGGCTGGATCACATGCTGCACTGGCCAATCACAGCCATGCCGTTAGTAGGCATGGCTGTGATGGCTTCTAAGGGCACACAAGTCAAATGCTTGTTGATTGGCTGCCCTGCAGCCTTTCAAAACGCACCATTAAATCGCCGAACACCGAACTCCAACCCGAACATACACTGATATGTCCGTGTACGGGTCCGGGGTCCAAAAACCGTAATGTTCGGTACGAACCCGAACTTTACAGACTGGGCTCGCTCAACTCTATTCCAGAGTATTAAGCTGTCTCTTTTGCGAAGTCAAAGTACATTATATCTAGCGAATGGCGCTCCATTCGTGTAATTACCATTGAGCAGAACGATGACTGGAAGTCCCAGCAGTGTTCGCGCCTTTGAATGTACGATTTTAGTTCCACACACTCGACGACAAAACACAGCTGGCAGCTGGCCGCATTCATATCCCAAGATGGCCGCCGCCACGTGTTGTGCATAAGAGCGCCGACCGCCCAGACGATCACTTAGAATGTTAGGGGGTTTGTGGTTTTTAGAGGTGTTAATAAGCTCAGTGAGGTTAACAAGCGCCACGCTCCAGGTCTGGGTGGTCGGTCATTCAGTAGATCTTTTGTTATTCGAAAGGCCAATGATAAAATAAAACAGACTTTATTCCAGTCGAACGGTTAGACGAATGAAGTGTTTAAACTTTAAAATTAAGGGGCAGAGGGTCTGTCACAATGATGATGGACCATAACCTCCACATCTGGTTGAACCGCATAGCCAGAGACAATCCCTGACTGTCGAGATGGAACCACAACGCCGATGATTTATCCCACCAGTCGGAACTGGAACTCTAATTGACCCCGGCTTCTCGGACATCCCCACGCCAACCTGTGGAGGTCTGGCAGGGTATGCCGTACCAAGGAACTGGGGGGGAGCATTGTAACTAACTGTGTCAATATGAGTGTCCCCCAACAGAGTGCAGCCCTCCCGTTCCCCGCCACCCCTGTGTCCTGTTGGCTTGCCTACCTCAAAGAGCGCTCTCCCTGGTGCTACCCACGTGGAGACATCCACCAGGGGGATGTGCGAGCCCTAGCCGACACTATGAAACTAGCAGGTGGCTTCACAACCTCAGAGACCGTGCTGACCAATGGGAGAAGCGCAACCATTCAAATTGGTTTTGCGCCCTTTCTCCAGATTGGTTGGCAAAACACCTCCCCTCCCTGACTAAACCAAGTGACCTAGTGGAACTGTTTTCGGGTATGCACAGAGCCTCGAGCCCAGACATTACACAATGATTTCTCGGGCTCTGTACATCCGATCACGCTGAAATTTGCAGGGGAAATAGTTCAGACCAGGAACTATCCCATGCCCAGGGATGTAGGGCATGTGGGGATGCATTACTGTGTATTTTGTGGGGTTTTGTGTGTCGGCTTCCTGTGTCTGGGCGACGCCGGAGCAGGCTTATATTTTACATTACTGTGGATGAAGACGCCCTGCGGGGTTCTGAGCATAAATACTGTGTATCTGGCCTGCAATAAACAGATCCTTTTGTACCCTACATCAGGTCGTGGCTGATGTTTATGTAACCAAGAGCTTTAATTACTGTTGATGAGTGGACAATTCCCCATAGGGACAAGCACTATTTTGACAGAATAGGCAATTGGATTCCCTCTTTTTAGGGGATATATGACTTGAAAGGGTACCATGCTGTTTTCGGGTATTTTGCGTAGCATCTCCGGAAGATAATTGAGTTGATAACCGGTAAACTATCTCCCAAACACAGATACGTCTGAGCGAGCTTAAGACAATAAATAGAGAACCAATGCTGGGGGAACCTGTATAAATACCTTTTGCCTAAATAAACCAGTTGATTTACCGTTCATAAAGTTTTGGCTGATGCTTGGGGATACAAGAGCTAAATCCACACTTTCACTCTGCAGGACTAGGGAGACTCTTCGGCAGATTTATATTGACCCGGAGTATAGGGAATCCGTTACAATGACATAAGTATAAAATGAACAAGGGAACGTTGGAAAGCATAATACTGAAAGTTAAATAAAATAAATACATTTTTAAAAAAGTACAAAATTAGGTTTTTAATAAACATGTTTTCCTGGTAGGATACTCAAAATCATATACACATTCACCTTATCAGTGGCTGGAATGGCACACATTAACATAGTATCAAATTGTAACAAGCATGCCATACCTTCAACAAAAGAAACAAAGTATCTATTAAAGCATATGCCGACGAATCTTTAAAGTTTTACCTGTGTGGTTTTCAATATGAACCTAGGAACGTTGGAAAGCAGAATACTGAAACTGACATAAAAAAAAATAATAAAAAAAAATCAAAAGCGATAGATTTAGGTTCTTATAAACATGTCTACTTGGTAAAATTCTTCGTTTTTTCTGCTTTCATTATTTATTCATTTTCTGATGCATATTTAAACAGCTATGAATCCCTCAATAATGCCAGGATTCTGATTAAAACTGGGAAAGGGGGTGGGTGGAGAGAGAGAAAATAAGGTAGCTCCTAGGAGAAAAAGACAATTATACATATATAAATCATAGAAAATAGGATGAATGGTTCTGGTTTAAGGTATAATTATTTGAAAGTGTTTGTATTATTGTTAATGTACTTTATCATACCTCACAGCAGGCGGTGTTTGCTAGTAAAGTGCGGGATATTAGCCAATTAAAGACCATAGTCTTGGATAATAAAGGGTGCGGGAGGAAGGGATTGACAAGCTCGTTTGGTTGAAGACATAGTGGCTCTGAAAAGAGCCTTTGGTTGGAGAAATGAAGAGATTGGTGAGGAAAATGGCATTAAGCGCGCTCTCCTCTAATCCTGCGAGCCAGCTGGATGTCTTTGGGCATGATGGTCACTCTCTTGGCGTGGATGGCACACAGGTTGGTATCCTCGAAGAGGCCAACCAGGTAAGCCTCGCTAGCCTCTTGTAAAGCCATGACAGCAGAGCTCTGGAAGCGCAGGTCGGTTTTGAAGTCCTGGGCGATCTCACGGACCAGGCGCTGGAAGGGCAGTTTGCGGATCAGCAGCTCAGTGGATTTCTGATAGCGACGGATTTCCCGAAGAGCTACCGTGCCAGGGCGGTAACGGTGAGGTTTCTTGACACCACCGGTTGCGGGAGCGCTTTTCCTGGCAGCCTTGGTGGCCAGCTGCTTCCTGGGAGCTTTCCCTCCGGTGGATTTTCGGGCTGTCTGCTTGGTACGGGCCATTCTGTCTAAAGGAACTTAGTCACCTACCACAAGGTTATCAGGAACTATGGCTAGAGAGCCGCGAGCCCGAGTTCTTTATAGATCAAAGATGGATATGATTGGACACAATGTACCACGCCCCTAACTCTGATAGGAGGAGAGAGACGCCGCCACTTGGAGACAAAAGTGTAGATTGAAATACTGAGCACAATGCATGCTCTTTCAATGTTACACTGCCATCTAATGGCCATTTATAGGTACTGCGTTAATTGATTAATTCAATAATTAGATCCAGAACCAAGAGATACTATGTGTCGTACATACAATCAGTGTAAAAATTCAAAGATTATAATTATGTCTTTAACTAAGTAATTTATCGAGACATATTTAGTTATAATCTCTTTACCTGCATTCCGTGCTATTACAGGATTTGTCTATTATGTATGAAGCAAAGGGAAGAACAATTAAACATTTTATCAGTAAATGCAGTCTGCACTGAATACTTGCCGGAGCTGCAAATTCGAATACGGTGGAAACCTTTCCCGCTGGCGGTTTTTTTCTCTAGTTCAAAAATGACTATTCAGCAAATCACAACCTCCTGCATCAGCCAATCAACCACAAGACCCGCCCAGTGACGGTTTGATTTGTCTATCAGTTCCCCACTCGGTCGGCTCAACAGACATATAAGAGAAGGTGGCCGTGTTGTGAGCACTCATTGTTCCACTTGTCCCATCTCAGTATGTCTGGTCGCGGTAAAGGAGGGAAAGGGCTCGGTAAAGGTGGTGCCAAACGGCACAGGAAGGTGCTCCGTGATAACATCCAGGGGATCACTAAACCGGCTATCCGCCGTTTGGCTCGCAGAGGAGGTGTCAAGCGAATCTCCGGCCTTATTTACGAGGAGACTCGAGGAGTGCTGAAAGTCTTCCTGGAGAACGTTATCCGCGATGCCGTCACCTACACCGAGCACGCCAAGAGGAAGACGGTCACCGCCATGGACGTGGTGTACGCGCTGAAACGCCAGGGCCGCACTCTCTACGGTTTCGGAGGTTAAACGTTTCAGCTGATGTTCGATACTTCATTCAAACCAAAGGCTCTTTTCAGAGCCGCCCACTCCTTCCCTCATAAGGCTATAATTCTACCAGGATGGCTCGGCTGTCTCAATGCTCCCTACAACATATTGGAGAACGAGAAATTACAGAGTAGCCTTCCGTTAACACAAACTCCAATGTGTTTCCTATCAATATAATGTGGCGTTATGTTTCCCCTAATATCCTGCTTCGTTTTCGGTTTGAATGCAATGCTCTCATAAAACATGAAATAAGGGCATTGGAGGCTGAGAGGGTTAAAGTCTTCCTTGTTAGTAAGATTAGAATCCTTTCTGCACTAAACTGCAGTCAGTATGTGATCTAAAACGGCCGGAGAGAAAAGCTGCTGTGATCGAAGCAGCCATTCCCGCATTTTATATGGAAAACATGCTGCATACTGAATTTATACACCTCAAAACAGACCTAAAACTAGACATTCTATACTGTGATAATTATAGTTTAAGGAATCCTAATTCTCTAAGCATCACAGTCCATACAAATTTATATGGCAATCGTTTCCATCTGAGTATGAAAGGGTTAAATTATTTGCATTTTATCATCACAAATTTCAATGAAACTGCAATCAGTATGTGGCCAGAAAATGGCGGGAGAGGAAAGTGGAAGAACAAAAAGCTGCCGTGACAGAGCCAGCAGGGGGACTATATCGTGCAGGATTTAAACTTGGCCATTTTGTAACCGACTTTAAAAACGCCAAGAAGAGAATGCTGAATGTGTACATTTGATAGTAAATACATTGAAAGGAAAAACCCCACTAAACTCCTAATTTTAATTTATAAAGTATTCATTGAGATTGATATTGCTGGTTTGATCCATATGTATTAAACAAAAAGTAACCATTGCAATCTGTATACACGAGATGGCAGCATTGTATCATTTGTGTAAAGAGTCGAAAGAGAGGAGTGTGAATGGAAACACGTTTCATTTGTAAGCTAGATTGATACATTATAGTTTCAGGCTGTTGTATCTTTTAGGATACTTTATAACCAGCAGAATAAGTGTTACATCATAGGTTCTGCCCTTGGGAGTGTTAGTTTTTTTTAGCTTGACGATATCAAAATTGAAATAGTGTAACGCGACAATATATTACTTTTTATATTTCGCACATAGAAAACACTCGTTATATATTCACAGCTCTCTCGTGGATTGTGTGGGTGGCTCTTAGAAGAGCCTTTGTGTTATTACAGTTTGGGTGACGGGGTTTTACTTGGCGCTGGTGTACTTGGTCACTGCCTTGGTGCCCTCAGACACGGCGTGTTTGGCCAGCTCTCCGGGTAGTAAGAGCCGTACAGCAGTCTGGATCTCCCGGGAGGTGATGGTGGAGCGCTTGTTATAGTGAGCCAGACGGGAGGCTTCCCCTGCGATGCGCTCGAAGATATCATTGACAAAGGAGTTCATGATCCCCATGGCCTTGGAGGAGATACCGGTGTCGGGGTGGACCTGTTTCAGCACCTTGTACACGTAGATGGCATAGCTCTCCTTCCTGCTCTTTCTGCGTTTTTTCCCATCCTTCTTCTGGATTTTGGTCACGGCTTTTTTAGAGCCCTTCTTGGGTGCGGGAGCGGACTTGGCTGGTTCAGGCATGATGATCAGAGAAATCTCACGAAATTTCCAACAAACTAAGGAACGCTTTCCCCAGCTGCTCTATATATAGAAGCCCTGGCAGTAACGCCTGACCTGTGTGCATTTTCTATTGGTTCGTTCAGTAAGAGCACTGAGCATGGAACGCGGTAACCTACTGCGATTGGTTACTTTCTGAGTCGGAAGCTGATTGGTGGCTTTAAAATGCAACCAATCAGATTAGAGCTCGCTGTATCTGAGATGGTATAAATAGCCGTGCAGGGGGCGCCAATTTCTACACAGTAATTCGTTACCGATTTCGTTTTGAAAATGTCAGGAAGAGGCAAACAGGGCGGCAAAGTCCGGGCTAAAGCCAAGACCCGATCATCCAGAGCAGGTCTGCAGTTCCCAGTCGGCCGTGTCCACAGGCTGCTCAGAAAGGGCAATTATGCCGAGCGGGTTGGAGCCGGAGCTCCGGTCTATCTGGCTGCAGTGCTGGAGTATCTGACCGCCGAGATCCTGGAGCTGGCTGGGAATGCAGCCCGAGACAACAAGAAGACCCGCATCATCCCCCGCCATCTGCAGCTCGCTGTGCGCAACGACGAGGAGCTCAACAAACTGCTCGGAGGGGTCACCATAGCCCAGGGTGGGGTATTGCCCAATATCCAGGCTGTTTTACTGCCCAAGAAAACCGAGAGCCACAAGCCAGCCAAGAGCAAGTAACTCCACTGTCTCTCAGCTCCCAAACTTACACAAAGGCTCTTTTAAGAGCCACCCACAATCCACAGAAAGAGCTCACACTGATATATGACTATGAATGGAGGTGATCACTGTCTTGCTACATTCTTATACGGTTATTCACTACAGTGACGTCAAAGGGAATTTACTACTTAAGGATGTTATATACCTCTTTACAATCTATATCTGTAATTCGGCTAACGAATTAACTGATACATTACAAATTTCTATTAAAACACCCCTAGCGGACTTTCCCTTTCTAACCATTGCTATTACTACTTGTTAGAAACTGGGGGAGTCTTTGGTTAAACACAAGATATCGATCAGAAGCGGATTAATAGTTAACTATTGTGAACAATAGTAAAGCGCTGCATATCAGTATAAGATGGAAGGAAATAAATATTCCAATCCATCCCGATTTTCACACGTCGTTTGATTCAATTTCATACTTGAGATTTTTTATTTTTTTTTGCCTCAATTGTATAATGCATGTTTAGTGAATGAGCATGCTTCTGTCGCCCACTTTTGCATTACAAGTAGAAACAAATTCCAATCGCAAGTGACTTCCAATCATGCAACAAAAAAATACCAACTCAAAAGGCATTCAGATTTCTCCTAGGTGGGATTTAGTCACACCATATGGCCATGTGGGAGGCCTCTCCTGCTTCAAAATAACCCAATATGCCATATGGTGTAACTAAATTCCCGTATTGCCAAAACAGGTCTAAGTAAGTAGTATTGTAAGATTTCATGCTGTATTTTGGTGTGCGCTCTTCTGTATTACTTTTGTTCTGTTCAATTGTACTATCTACGTTGTATATTTTGTTTTCCATATTTCTAAACACTGAAAATATAGATCACCCAAAAACCCTCTCCTCTCTTTTAAGTGGTAATATTAGTGTGAGCAGGGCCGGATTAAGAGCCCAGTGGGCCTGGTGCTGACAAATATGACGGGCCTAATTATGGAATCTTATCAACCAAAAACACTAAAACAATCATACCTCCCAAGCGTCATGTATCTGATGGAGATGGTGCTGGAGGGAAACTCATAGGATGTAGTTATAAGAAAACACATACTCTATGCTAATTTCTCTCTAATTTATGTTTTCATCTTTCAAGTAAATCCATAAACCCTAACAGCAGTGTCCACTGAAGCAGGAAGTCAATGGGCGGGGTAAAAGTGTGTGCCACTGTCCCGAATCACGTGACCAGACCTGCCAAAAGGGGAGAACATGCCCAAAAAGGGGGCATTTTGTCCAAAGAATTGGAAGGTCAGCCTGGTATGAATGCATGTCAGGCTGCCTGCCAATCCTGCAGGCTGTCCAACTAAGGGCATACTATGCAGGCAGCACCATGAGCTTGACATAAATGCATCTAATGATGTGCTCACTCCGTGCTTTCTAAGGACTGTCCCCTAGCACTCACTGGTCCACTTGTCTCCTTGCCTTCTTAGTAGCAGGTAGAAGTTCCTGGTATATAGTCTGAGACAGAGTAAAGGTGTATGTAGTGAGTGTAGTGTTTGTAGTGAGTGTAGTGTATGTAGTGAGTGTAGAAGAAAGGGGACATGCCACAGTGTTAGAGAGACCAGCGTCTGCATTACCTAAACTAATTTTATTGTCAGCTAGTCCACACAAGTTTTGTTCCCATACATCCCTCTTAAGCTTCCAAACTTAAAGGGACACTATAGTCACCAGAACAACTACAGCTTATTGTATTTGTTCTGGTAAGTAGAATCATTCCATTCAGGCCTTTTGCAGTAAACACTGTCTTTTCAGAGAAAATAACTCCACTGGCCACTCCTTAGATGGCTGCTAGAGGTGCTTCCTGGGGCAGTACTGCCTAGTGTGCAGCACTGCCATTCAGTGTCTCCATCCTCTGCATGCAGACACTGAACTTTCCTCATAGAGATACATTGATTCAATTTATCTTTATGAGGAGATGCTGATTGGCCAGGGCTATGTTAGACTTTTGCTGGCTCTGCCCATGATCTGCCTAGTTGACAGTCTCAGCCAATCCTATGGGGAAGTATTGTAATTTGCTCAGACCACCACTTCTGATGATGTCAGCAGACAGTGAATTCAGAGGCAGAGCCAGCAGCTGCAGACTTGAATACAAGTTATATTTTACTATACTTGGGGAGGCAAGAAGGGGCGAGGGTGTTGGTTTTTACATAATCGGGTCAGAAATACATGATTATGTTCCTGACCCTATAGTGCTCCTTTAAGCAAGAGTATGTGAAGAATAGTTAGGGTTGCCACCTTTCTTGGAAAAAAATACCAGCCTTAATCATTTGTATAATCACAAGGAGTGACATCAGAGAAAATTCTGTAAAATCACCAACAAACTACTCACAGTTTGATTCTGCTGTATAGATGGATTGCTCCCAGTGTCTCAGTCTCGCAAGTCACCCAGTGTCTCAGTGTCCCTATGTATCACAGTGTCAGTGTCCCCATGTCGCCCAGTCCCCTAAACTCCCAGTGTCTGTGTTCCCATTTCTCCCAGTGTCCCAGTGTCTCAGTGTCCCTATGTATCAGTGTCCCCATGTCCCCATGTCTCCCAGTGTCTGTGTCCCTAGTGTCTGTGTCCCCATTTCTCCCAGTTTCCCTAAATGTCTCAGTGTCCCCATGTCTCCGTGTCCCCGGGTCTCTCAGTGTCCCCATGTCTCACTGTGTCCCCAGTATCCTAGTGACATGGGGACACACTGAGACATTGGAACACACTGAGACATTGGGACACTGGGAGAAATGGGGACACTGAGACACTGGGAGACTAGGGGACACTGAGACATTTAGGGAAACTGGGAGAAATGGGGACACAGACACTAGGGACACAGACACTGGGAGACTAGTCTCCCAGTGTCTCGGTGTCCCCAT